TAGCAAGGAGGTCGGTAAAATAATCCATGTGACATCAGGGGTTCAACCATAATTTTACGAAGCTACGAGAATACTTTTTGTACGCAAAGAAAACAAAAAATAAGTACTTTATTCAACAATTCGTCTCCTCCGCGTCACCCTGGTGCCATTTTGGAGAATATCCACTGAACGTAAACAGCGTATGCTATTCTGTGTCAGCTGCATCACACGGTGTCCGTTACAACACCTAGAAGTAACTTTAACCATTTCATCTTTCTTTCTTTTCATTTCAAAAAACGGAAAGGTACAGATAATGACACATTTAAGGCCATGCAATGCGCTACAAGGGTATCCATCTCATTGTCCTCTTAGAGGTGGCCTGGTCATTACTGAAGATAATTTTTTGTCATTAAGTGGGAGGATCGCCTTTATTTTTCCCTTATGACTTCTGTAGCATTTAGCGCTTGCTTTATTCCAGTCAGACGGGGAGAGTAATTACTCAAGCTCTAGATAAAACACTGATGTCAGAGGTTCTCCATACATCTAACCGACACTCTCCAAAGCTGTAATGATTAGATAAGAGCGCATATGTGTCAAATATAAAGCATACGACCTCCAGAACCTCCCAGGTACTAACATATAAGACAAAAACTGCAGCTACAGGAACGCTACTCTTTCAGAGGGCAATTTAGTGCTCAGCCAAAGATCATCCCTTCATTTCACATGATAAAATGAAATATTTTGACTTCACATGATAAAATAAATGATTTTGACTTGATTTGTACAGTGGTGTGAAAGGCCGCATCCCAAGATTCCCGAGGCTGGCGACACCATGGCCCTGCAAGCCTGTGGACAGGACTTGGAACAGCAGAGCAGCTGACATTTAAAGGACAGATAGCTGGAGGGGAGAGATGGTTTAGCTGTGGAGAAACAACACTTCTCCCATGAGTTTCCGCTTCAGAGCTTTTTGACCGACCACACAAGCATGCCAAAGCACTAGTAGCGTGTCTACTGTCAGATCCTCTCCTGTCTTTTTCCACCCATCTTCATTTTCTCAAGGATTATGCTACATGGAGTTTATTGCTTCTTTTAGAGGGGCAAATCAATGTATTTTACTTATAAATATCCAAATTAAGCAATATCACATAAGCATGCTGCACTGAACATCAGCGCAAGAAATTAAAGGCATAGTTGACCAAAAAAAGGTCATTCACAAAACAAGATAATTTAAGAGTCATCAGAGTGCAACAATGTCTACTCACTTTTTCAGCAGCCTTGGTTCTGGAAGTATTTTTTTCCCATTCATTTTTCCATAAGGATTTTTAAAACATCTCTAGTAAAGAGTTATAAGTCATGAACCAAAACAATCAGCTATGAGGTAAATCACAACATGACAACTTTATTTTGAAGCAAAAAAGTATCAGACAATCGGACAAAAAGACAAAGGTGTAAGGACTTTAGTAAGGAAAAGAACTACAATCCCATAAAGCATTGTGAATGACATGACTGAATTAAAAACAACAGATAAATATAAATCTATTGACTTGTATGTGTTGATTGTATATAGAAACTATACATGCATGCAAAATATACATGCATATACAATATTAAAGTAGTTTGAGAGTGTAGAGACTATTACACCATTCAAATTACTTAATGAGAGTGGGGGGACTCTCTTTTCAGAATCATGGATAATATAGTTTTTCATCACAAATTCTGCTGTTAAACATGATTATTAAACAAATGAGTTGAAATGACACTAACTGAAGGCTTCAACAAAAGCATATACCATCGATTAAACTCGCAGATCACAGTAGGCCTGTCTGTTTTAAAAGGTTTATAATTTATCATTAAAAATCAATTTCCTCTATGGAGATAATGAATGGGATTTTTACTTCCGGAGACAGACTGTTGAACTCTGTCCAAACTCTGTCCCCATTGAGTTTCACTGTATGGACAATGAAAGAGACATTTTCAAAATATCTTCTTTTGCATTTCACATGAGAAAGCAAGTCATACAAGATTTAAAATGAGAAGTAACTGATGACAGAATTTTCATTTTTGGGTGAACTATCCCTTTAAAAATCAAGGACTCGACTTTCAATATTTTTTTTTTTATAAAACACTTCTAAAAAAGCCCAGTCATCAAGCATTGTGTGTTGCAAACATACATACAACAGAAGAGAGGATGCGAGTATAATGGAGTGACCGCGAAGAGCACACTGTAATCAAGCCAGGTTTTTAAGCTCCACTTCAGGTGTTTTTTTTTTTTTTTTTTGTTTTTTTACCAGCAAGACAGATTAACCTAGTTAAATTTATATTTTCCTCTGTTGTATCAATGCACTTGTCCTTTATCCCCCAAAATACTAGTTGGTTCCTATAACAGAAATATTAAGGGAAATTATGAGGTAACCAAGCTAGGGTAAATCAAAACAATCCGACTTTTAAGAAAAGGAAAAATTATCAAATAACATGCTCTTTCGGCTTATAGTGAGAAAATGGGTAACATATGTTCAACCCAGTGACAAGACACATTGAGTTTTGTATAAAATCTCACCCATCACTCTAGACCATTTAACACCACATGTACATACACAAAATATATGCATCCGTCCTTAAATGCATTGTCAGATTTTTCTTTAAGCTACATACACTTTCAAACTATACAACAATGGCTATGAATTAGCTTTCAGTTTACCTGTTACTTTAATAAAACTGGCCTCCACTCATATTCCGCTATAATGGCGGTGCACTGACGCAAGCTTATTAGAGCATTAAATGTAAAGTCAAATCAAATGAACATTAACATTTAACACACAGTCCTCCTTTTTCCAGCCATCTGTCTCCCTGAGGAAACAGAGCGTTCAGTAGTGGTATTTACCAAGGCCCTGAGTTCAAAATGACTTCATTTGTTCATCTGAACCATTGGCAGCCCATCTATTAGCCCATCTATATAGCCCATCTGATCAGCCCTCAAGTCGTGCAGGTATTGTTACTTAGTAAACAAGAGCAAATAATCTACTTGAAAAGAAAAAAAAAGACATAATTATGACATCATGTATATTTGGGGCACACAAAGCTACTCTTTATTGCTGTAGTGTCAGACTAACCTTTGAAGTCTTGCACACTATTAGCAAAAAGTCTTGTGAGATCCAAGAACACCTTGGAAACCAAGTAAGCCCTTTGTTATTGAGTTTTGCTGATTAAACTTTAATACTTCAGTGTTCCTCATTTCAAAACGGTGGCTCTATGAATGAAACAGGCAAGAATAAAATGACAATCTTGGGTCAAGACTAAACCACAACACAACTGATGTAATGTATAGAGACCCCGATGTCACAGATGGAGAGTCACTACCAATCAAATGATAATGAAGTTCATCAACAGGTCAAGTCTACATGTGATATTCACCTGAATATTCTAAAAGAAAAAAAAAGCATCAGGGGTGCTAAACACTACAGCAGACTAAAAACTAAGATATCTGGAGATATTTGCAGTGTCATATCTAGAGTTGATCCATTTTCACATGAATACAGTGACCAAGTCTAAGCTAAATGAAATAAAGAGCAAACCAGTGCATTTTTTCAAAGAGGAGGAATAATAAATCAGAGGTGTCCTACTGCAGTCCAGTAACCATGCTTAAGAAAATTAATGTATAAATAATTGATTCAGTTGCAAATCCAATCAACCTAGTTTTGTCAAAATGAAAGCTAAATATCACCGTCTTGTGTTTTCCTCATCTGACATGCCATCCGAGGAACAAAATAAAGCAGAGGCTCCAGGGTTCTTGAAAAAGCATTTAAATCCCATGGCCTGTTTATCATCCTTTGTCTCTGGCTGTATTCTATATCCAAGAGTTCATGTAATCCACAGTCTAAAATCCTTAGGATGGTATTTTTTAATTTTTTCCATTTTTCTTCCTTTTTTGTGTGTGTGTGTGTTTGTTTCTTTTTACCCCAGCATACAAAAAGTCCCCTCCACCTAACTAAAATTATAAAAATGGAAGCCACTTGCAGGGAATAAAGTCACATAGAGAAATGTTTTTGGGTTGTGGGGAGGAGAAAAGTGACCACAACAATGTGCGTCACCTATTCCTTGATCCAGAGCATATCAATAAAAAAATATCTGAGTAAAAACCTCACTGCTTTCTTCCAGCATTGACATCTTCAGTAGTTATTATGTTGAAAAGAGACTCCATCATGCAGAGGACTGTTCTTTGTCCTTGTGTCCATATTTTTTTTTTCATCTCCTAATGCAAGGTAGGAGATTACAAATTTCTACATTTGCCCTTTAATTAAATATATAAACAATAATTTAAATAAACCTGAATAAATAAATGTATAACTCTGAATGAATAAATAAATAAATAAATACAATTACAGACATAATTATAGACTTGCAGATAGATAGATAGATAGATGGATAGATGGATGTCTGACTTCCTCTCATTAAGTTTGGACACTCTCTAAATGAATGCTTTGCTTCATGTTGAATGAGGAACACTGTTCTCTCTCCTCAATGACGTAGAAACACACAAATACAAACAAACAAAATGACAAGCAAACGAAAAAACCTGTAAAAAAGTATGTGTATACTGAAAGAGTTAAAATCCTAAACTCTTCCTTGTAATGTAACTGCATTAAATCATTAAACACAACATGTCCTCTTTTAGAGAAGAAATCTCTTTTACTGTATTGTTTTCTGTATCTCTTTATCTTTTCAGTTCCTCTATATATACTTTTGGGTTTATCTTTTTTTCCCCCTTTTTAACTAACATTTAAGAAAACTCCCAGCATTCCAGCATATGGAAAGCTTTTCCTGTACTGTATGTCGTCTCCTGACCTGATTGTTCAGGCAGCTGTCTGAACAGTACCCTTCTGTCTAGTCATGCTCTAAGGGGCCAAACTGCTCTCAGGTCTCTCTCTCCAGTTTCTCTACAGTCCTGTCGGATGTTTACCACAAGCAAATACAAAATGGTAACAGGTCACAAATGAAAACAGGGAGATAGAGAGAGAAAGACTTTAAGATGGAATTCCACATGTCAAACTGCTCCCTGAAAAAAAAAAATCAGAGATTGAGTATTGGGCCTTAGAAATAACTAACACTAGGTAAAGTTTCATCTATTTCTTCTGGAGCCCACAATTGTTATTTGGCTTGTACTTTCCCCGTCTTTTCCTTGTGCTGCCTCCGACTGACTCTCTCTTCTTCCTTCTTTCCAGGGGCAGGTGATTTTACCCTGTGGCTCTTTTATGAACACACTTTCTTGGGTTGTGAGAGTCCCCTGGTCTAAGCTACCCGTGCTGTTGCACTTTTTCACAGACGGGGGCGCTACAGAGCTCGGCAGAAGCAGCGATGTGAGCGACAGGCTGCTCGGTGTCTCTGAGAGCTGCTGGCTGTCGCACGTCTGGTTAGAACTGCACCGTACCATCCCTACATCCTCATCGGAGTCTTGCCGAGTTCCTCCTGCATTAATGTCCCTTTCACAACTGCTCTTGCTGCGCTGGTGCCCCCTCATAGTTTGGAGGTTCTGGGTGGCTGGAGGGCTGGGTCTCAGGGTCTTTGTGGAGAGGCTGGAGCGATCGTCAAGGAGTGTGTCCAGCAGTGGCTGGGTGCTGAAACTGAGCCCTTCTTCCATGGTGGTTGGTAGGCTGCTCTCTGAGCTGCCCGTAGCCAGGGAGGAGTCACTGTGAGATGGATACTGAGGGCAGAGAGGTCGAGTTTTTAGCAATGAATTGATAACGACACACAATGCATAAGTTGTAAACGCGTTTAAATCAAACCTGTGTGGTGAGCAGCCTGGTGTTTGCTCCAGGAGAGCGTAGAGATGCCCATGAGGCTGGGGAAGTTAGCCGGAGCCCTCTTGGTTTGTGTCCCGGTCGGCCTCTCGGGGGTGCCGGGAGGGCCGCAGCAGCTGGGTGGAAGAATTCAGCAGGGAGATGGATGGGAGTGGCAGAGCGGCTCGAAGCTCCAGAAACCCCTGGGTACTCCTGATTACTGCTGGGAACTCCACCTGCACACAAACTCAGTTACTCGATTTGAATTGAATTTAAACTGAGGTGGCAAAGAGGATGCAGATTTGAGTTTGAATTTAAGGACATGTTGCTAAAAAAAGTTGTTGGCAACATGTTTAGATACTCAAGTATTTGTTCAAAACCTGTTCAAATGTTGTCCCAACTTTCCAAATTGAGTCACAAAGAAAAATGATTTGCAAGTTCCCAGCAAATTGAAATAATTACATGGTAACTATTATTAAAAAATGCCATTGGCTTAATTTATTTTACTTTGTTAATTTAATTTAATATCTAATTTAATTCATTTTACTGGCTTAATTTATGCTGATGGTAATTTAATTTGTTGACGTTAGAGCGATGTATAATATGTTTGCCTCTAGTTTTAAGAGTCCCATGTCATGTCAATATAATGATAAAAGAACGAGGTTTGTAGCTCACTGCATTGGTAAATGCCAAACAATCTTTTCAAAGTTTTCAGTTGTTAGTTGAGTTAACGCAACAAATTTAATGTAATCCCTTTTTTAAGTTAGGTCAACTGTTTTTCTAGTGTTCAATTAAAAATCTTATTTGGAAAGGGACAGTTTTTCAATTCTGAACTTTGCGCAACTAATGTGCATAACAGTTTTCTTGCTTTGTTCTCCAGTATCATTCCTGTAGCACTGTGGACTGTGTGCCACATTACCTATGCTGTGACGAGCAGGTGTGTTGTGATGTGGACTTTGAGAACTGGCTCCATTCATTGCCACCCCCTCTTCTGTCCCAGAGCTGTGAACCCGAGAGGGTCGCCGTAACCTGCTGTGACCTCTCCCTCCAGGTTCTTCAGTGTTTAGGCACTCATCATAGCCCCTTTCCTGAGCAGAAACATTAGCATGCGCTTTCAGGATCCTGGGGAGACTTTCAGGTCTCTTAAATGCTAACATCTTACTTTCATGGTAAACCTAACTCTTTTAGGTTCTCTGCATTCAGGGCTTCCCTCTATAACAGTAAAAGAGATTAAGGAACGATTAAGCTCTGCTAGATCATCTGAGCCATCTGCCCCACATACTGTCCTTTATGGAGTTTCTCTAACAAATAGCTAGAGATGTTTAAAGTCTGTTGAAGAATTACACTGGTTGAGCAGCAGAGCTACATTCCCCATGAGACTGCAAGATTTAGACTAACAGCTTATAGTTATTTGATTTCTTAAGTCTAATTAGTGCGAGTCTGTGGTCATTCTCACTGATTATATTTAATTAAGGGATCATCGTTTGGGATGTAAGGGAATTACAGCAGTTTGTATATCAGATAAAGGTAGATCATTTCCATTGGGCAGAGTTTTCATCTGTTACTGTTACTGATAGTTACTGGCCGTAGCATGAAAGCAAATATCAATAATCATCTATAATAAATACAGATATTAGCATGAATCCTGATGAGTGCATACCTTTTGATTAGATTTGAACATTTCAGAGTGTAGATACTAAGATAATTGTGGGGGTGAAGAATTCAAAACGACAAAATAATTTTTCTGAGAGAAAGTTCACCTTGCCCTCTTTGGCAGCCATCTGGTACACACACTGTCCAGCCACAAGTTCTCCTGGGATACAAACACATATCACCAGAGTTAATAACACAGTAAAGTAAGTGCAGGGCCATCGACTGGGATTTGGAGATCTGGGAACACTTTTCCAAAATCTCTGATGAGGGAGCACACTAAGTCTGAGCAGTTCAGAACTGTAATTCTATAACATTTGGATGTATTAAAGTATATCTAATAGGGATGCATAATATGATACAATAAGCTGATAATGTTATGGCTGATGAAGGGCAAATAATAAAACGTGATCCACCTTATTTTCAAATATATATAAATATTGTAATATTGGCTGATAACCATTATGGTGCCGATATACTGTGCATCCATGATAGTACACTTAGAGATGGTCTTTGCACTAGAAAATAGAACATCCTACCCACCTGTGTGCTCACACACACACACACACACACACACACACTAACTAATGAGAGGCTAGGGTCAGAGAAAGGGTTTCCTTCACTGCGACTGGTCTTAATGACGGCGGTTGAGAGGAGCCTTACAGAAGCAGAGCTTGAAAGAGCAGCTGTGCAGAGGGCTAAACCTACACACACACACACACACACACACACGCACACA